AAGCAATCAGACCACACAAAATGCACATCCAAAGAATATCCGAACGATCCTAGATATGAAGTCCCCCACCACTCTAAAGAAGATCCAAGGTCTGACCTAACGAGCAACTGCTCTCAACCGATTCTTCTCGAGATCTACCGACTGATACAAGCTTTTTTCAAGGCGATCAGAACGCATAGCGAGACAAATTGAGCGACGAAATGCGAGAAAACATTACAGAACTTGAAGAAGTACCTAACATCACCTCCTCTATTATCCAAGCCGGAAGCAGTGGAGGACTTACGCATCTATATGGCGGTATCTGAAGTAGTAGTAAACTCTACCCTCATACGAGAAAAGTTGGGGGCCCGACCACCCGTACTCCATAGTTAAAAGTTATCCTTGATGCAGAAACTAGATACCCGAAAATCAAGACTTTGATTTTGGTGCTAGTTGTTGCAACCCGGAAGCATAAGCCATACCTTCACACGTATGTAGTCATCGTCATGACCTGATATTATGCACAATTCGGACGCACAACGTTAAAGGCACGAAAACTGGCGGACATTCTGACGAGCGCAGCAACTCAACCCAGAAATGCCCCAGAGGCAGCGGAGCACACCGTAGCTGCACCAGCCCCACCTGCAAGAGATTTCTGGCTTTTGCACATCGACGGATCATCCAACTACCAAGGATTGGGAGCAGGCCTAATTCTCACTACCCTAGACAATTCGATGCTGGAGCAGCCAATCACTCTAAGCTTCAAGGTTCAAACAACGAAGCGGAGTATAAAGCCCTACTAGCAGGTCTCTGATTGGCAAAAAACTTAGCATTGAAGAAGTTCGCAATCCATTCTGATTCCCAATTGATCACCAACTAAACCTCAGAGGAATACGCAGCAAAGTATCCAAGGATGGCCCGATACCTCGAGAAGGTACAAAAGCACATAGCCACGTTCCAGGCATACACACTCACTCAAGTTCCACGAGCAGAAAATGCCCACGCATACACACTAGTAAGCCTAGACTTTGCCTTGGACCATCAACTCAAGTGCTCTATCCCAGTTAAGTACTTGGAGAAGCTGAGCATAGATGAGGAACTAGCAGTCGAGGTGGCACAGATCAACACAACTCCGAGTTGGCAGGATTCCATCATCGACTACATAGTCAACGAAACACTCCCCGTAGGCAAACTGGAGTCCAAGTTCCAGATAAAGGCAACATGCTATTACATGTGGAATAGCATGCTCGTTCACAAATCCTTCTCAGAACCACATCTTCGATGCCTATCGCATCCCGATAACCCGAAGATTCTTAGCTCAAGCCATGAAGGCATCTGTGGAAACCACTATGGAGGCCACTCTTTGGCTCAAGAAAGCTCTTAATGCAAGCTATTACTGGCCAACTATGCATCAAGGCACCAAGGAGTATGTACAAAGGTGCAATAGCCACCAACGCTTCAAGCATGTGCTCGCACTATCTACAAGAGAACTCAACCCGCAGACGAGCCCTTGGCCATTCATGCAATGGATGATTGACCTAGTAGGACCAATGATGCCTACCATTGGGGTCAAAAGCATGATGATCATAACGATCAACTACTTCACAAAATGGGTCGAAGTCAAACCCATGACTACAACCACGCAGACAAACATAGAGTGCTTTATATGGAAAAACATCATCTACCGTTTCGGCATCCCTCACTCCATTGTCATAGACAATGGTCCGTAGTTTTTTGGCAAAGACTTGGCAAGGTTCTTCAAAAAATATGGCATCAAGCAACACATGTCCACGCCCCGGTATCCGCAAGGCAATGGACAAGCCGAGGATTAAATATCAAGTGTTTAAATGTTAAATTGTTGTGGATTGGATAATGAGTTAGGATTATGATAGTCTATAATTTGTATATATATTGGATAAAAGGTTTAAGATGTCAATGTCGTTATTCTTTTGTCCTGTACTTAAGCACACTCGTTCCTATCTACAATGATCTCTAAATGGGAGATGATTTCCACACAACAGCATACTATGATTAAACAAGGCGTGTGAGAGGCAAAAAAAGGTATGTGAAAATCATTTTTCTCTCCAAATTACTTGTAATATAGGACATTCTCATACCTAGAAAATCAAGGTACAGGACTACCAAGAGGTGTATAGATTACTGTTTATCTCATACACGATCATTCTTATCTGTATTCCTTTTATCTTTGTCGATTGATTGAAACGATTTATTTTTTAGCTAATGGTTGCCCTTGTTAACTCCAAGTTTTTGTCCGCCTTTAATTAGTTGTCTCAGAGTTAGCTACTTGGGACGAGGCAATCTTTGTGAGTAGCTTGGCTTACTTATGTGGAAAGAAAGCAAATGATGAATTAGGGTGAGGTTTACTATTCTAGCCTACAGGCTAAACGAAATCTTAAATATCGACTATTGTGTTATTGTCGACCAATGTGTAGCTTCGACTATAAGTAACGACACTACCTGTTAATATAACATGATTCAAGCTTGTTTGTGTATACGCGTTTATTATAATTGCTAGTCTTGCAATAGTACTTGCACAAAAGAATCAGTCCTTCACTTGCCGATCGTTCACGAGTCGAACTCGCTCTTTTGCCATGCCTTTCACTCACTATCTTGAGTCAAGCTCAATCACTTTTTTATTTTTTGTTTTTTTTTGGAAGATCGGTTGTTTTTCACTCTATATTACCCATCGAGCGCGGCAACCACAATTAAATGGTTCTGCAGTTAAACAATTGATAGGAGCATATTTATGCGACTTAGTTAGCTTGTTTTTTTGCATTTATGTTGTTAGTTCCTTGTTATTTTAGTATTTTAAGCTATTTTCATGTGTTTGTAGGTCCAATTGACTAAAGTGGCAAGAAAGTGCAAATTGGAGCATTTTAGAGCAGTTTTGGGCTTGGAATGGATAGCACATGCATGAAGCAAGGTGGATGGACAAATTTGAAGTTCAAGAAAGGCTAAGAATCTGCTAAAGAGATGGAAGAAATTAATTCAAGACTTGGAAGACAAGGAATCAGCAAGAAACAAGGAAACGTGAGTCAAACTTCCTTATTTTGACTTAGTCAATCCTAATCTTTTCCTACTTATACTCCAGCTACCAAAGGGATTCCTAAATATATTGGGACACTTAAATATATGTTCTAGAAGCCTAAATCTCATTCCCAAACTCAATGCCGCAACTTCCTTCCCTTTTCCCTTTCCTTGCCGTGCAAGGCAACACATTTCCCCTTCTCCTCCTTCAATTCCTATCGCATATCACTTACCCTTTTTCCCTCTTGGATTCTGATTTTAATTACCTTTTTCCTTGAGGATTTGGAGAGCAAATCTTTCCCAAAACAATTAATTATGGCCATGCCTTTCTCTCCTAAAATAAAAGCAATCTACCGCACAAATCATACACACAATCGCTGACCATTCATACCATTCAGCCATCCATCCTTCAACCCAATTCCACCCCACCCTTCCATAACACACCACATCCCAAATCCACACACAATCACCCTTGTGCCGCAACCTAGCAAGGAAGAAAGAGAGGAGGAGCAACCTTGGACGTATTGGCCATTCAAAGTTTGGATTGTTGGAACATTCTTCGGTGTAATCCATCTTTTGTTCTCAATGTTTAATTTAAGGTTTCTTTGTTTTGCTGTGAACATGAGAGGCTAAACTTGTTTTAGCTAGAGAAGACTTTGAAACCATGATTATATTTGCAATATGAATTGATTACTTCCAGTTGTGATTTCATAAATCGTGAATGCAATTCGCTTAACTGTTTGATTCAGAACTTATTCTTGTATGTTGATTGAGGGTGCACACTTAGTTTGCATGCATGAATTTGATGCTAGAATATAAGGGAGTTTCACATAATCGTTACAAATTTATATTCACAAGTAGTGAAGATCGTGGTCACGATCGTGTTAAGTTAAATTCCAGACATGAGTATCATGATGTCATAGTTACGAATGTCTTGTCAATGCTTATGATTTTCACATAACTTAATGATCTTTGGTTGTGTCTCTATTATGCATTTCATGGAGGGAACTTGGGAAGAATAATTTGGTTGCCGATGCGTTGTCCGTCCAAGTCAATGACTTAAGGAAAATATGAGGGTTAATTAGTGATATCTTGGTTAATCTGGGGTGTTGAGATTCATGGTTTATTGGAAAAGCAACTGGAAATCAATTTATATGCAAGTGTGTCATGTGTGGAGAAGGTACCTCTAGCTAGCTTATCACCCATTAATTCACCAAATTCGTATCCTTTTATTTTGCTTCTTTAAACCTGTTTGTTTAAGTTTTAAATTCTTCAAAAACTCAATCCCCTTTACTTTGTTGTGTCAAATTAGTTAGAATCTGTCCAATTTGTGTTTTTAAGTGTTTTGAGTCAAGTTAAAGTTAGAATTCGTCCAAATCACTCTTTAGTTTTTGTTTTGAGTCATTTGCTTGTTTTGTGTTGTTTTGAGTCTTTTTAGTTTGTTTTCAGTTCTTTGAGTCTAGTTAAGTGTTTTCAAGCCTAATTTTATGTTTTTAAGTCAGTTTAGAGTAGATTAGCAATCCCTCCAAATCCCCAACCTAAAACGATCCCTACTTACATCTTTATTATAATTGTCAATAAAAGGATTTAATTTGAGTGCTATTTTATATACTCCACACCACATAACAACTCCCCGCCCCGCCCCCCCCCCCCCCCCCCCCCCCCGAGTACATGAGAGAGAACCAACACCACGAGGTGTTTCGTCAGAGTTACGACTGGGGGATGGCAATACCCACTTCCATCCACTTTTTCATGGCAACTATTAGTCAAGATTGGTGGAGACGAGTAATGCTAGTAAAAGAACATCTGCAGTTCATAAGAGAAACCTCAGAGGTTTAAGCTCACAGAAGGTAACCAATCACAACTCCACACGGAGCATCACACAGACAACGGATGAACCCAGAACAAATTTCAGTAAGCAAAATCGAAGTTGGGTTTCGTTACTCCACCATTATCTAATTAAACAACCCGACTCGAGACTTGACGCTGCAATCATTGGATCTTAAAACAGCAGATTTTCCACTGTACATTTTAAAGAAGTTCAGCCAGAACCAAGCACCCTCCAAATACCCTGAACTACTTCTATGCTCAGGAAGCACTACTCGTGAAAGATTAGGACAGCTCAGATCATTAGAGATCAGATCTCTATTACAGCTTATGACAACGAAACAAGATATACAAAAAGATGGAAGGAGGAAACGTTTAACCGCACCCATAGTTTACATCTGGTCTTGCAACAACTGAAGAGAAGGGAACTTCAACTCTCTCTTTCACAACGCATCGCCCCTTCCCATCTTCCACCACAAGGACTCTACCGGGGGGGCATTCAATGGTTGATCTCTGTTCTTTAGTTTGTGGTTGCTGAGAAAGACCGGATATTTTGAAAATAGCATTACTTCTCACAAGTTTAGGCCCAAAACCAGACAGGCTTAATACAGATGCCACACCAACAATAGTAAGCAAGGTCTTGGCTGCAGTGCTTAAGAAAAATCCCAACCCCTTTGAGTTTTTGGATCCACTTTGCATCTTATCTGTCTCACTCAAATTCTTCTTCGCTTCATTTGTCGGATCACCAGAGGTTATCCCATTTCGTGGAGACTTGTGTGCAGGTGGTAAATAGCCATTTTCTACAGAAAGAATGTGTGGAGAGCGGCTTGGATATGGAGGAAGCAAAAGATCATTGTTGTGCTCTACTGTTTCACCCGCAAAAGCAGAAGCCTCACGTAAAACTTCTAATTCCTCCCCTTTGTACTCTTTAAGTTTGTCGAGTAGCATCTTGCGGCTGCTTTCAATCTCAGAAAGGGCAACTTCCCTTTCATACGTTTGCTGCTGTTGCAAAGCCTGATGATAAAACAAAACAAAATTCAAAACCTATATTATAAAACAGGTCCATTCTTGACTAATATAGCTCTTATTATAAATCAAAAACATTATGATGAACTCACTGGCAGTATGGTTTCCCTGGAAAGGGCAATCACTAGTTAAAAATGATGATAAAATCATGTTAACACTTGGACATCGATAAGAATTCGATCAGAAGTGCTTAGCAACAGATGGAATGAAGACACTCAGAATAATTTATGTCAAGCAAATAATTTGTGTAATGCATCAGTATGGTTGAAAATTATACTAGCGGGTGAAAATCACTCACCAGTGCTGACAAAAGATTCCAATTCATTCATCCTCATAAAAGGGTTTGACAATATGTATAACAGTATGTCTCAGACTCTTAAGAATTTCCAAAAATCCACATGTCAATTACTAATTCACGAATCTCCGTAAACATAAATCTAATGCCTTCCTCCATGGTTAAATAGGAACCCTCTGTAATTTAATGTGAGCACAAAAATGACAAGTATGTAGTTCATTTGCATGGAAGTTCAATGAACCACAAGTCCAGCCTTTCTAGCCAACTATGGGTATTGGGTTATGTAAAAGTTTTGTAATTTGAAATCATTGGTTCCTTGAATCATTGGGCTTCTCTCTAAATAGAGTTGTGTAAAATATCTAAAGCCTTGATGATTGATCCTTCGAGGAAAGAATACTAATGATCTACTTTTTGGGCTTAGTTATCTTAGTGTTTTGTATGCCTATATAAGGAGTATCAATAAACATACAGATGTTTTCAACTTCAATTATCTGATTCCTTCAATTCGTTCACTTTGCCTCCAATGGGTTCAACACAAGGAGAAGAAAAACTTCGATGGGAGGTTGACTTCTATTTTGTTCACTATGGCCATTACGTGATGCAAAAATTTGCTTAGCAATTCGATAATGACATTGACATTATGTTTTGCTTAAGCATAAAAAACAAAACACATTTTCTTCACGTCATATGTGATTTACAAGTAGATTTCTGCACATGCAACTTTCCTAAAATAACTCACTAGATTTTAAAGGAAGAAATGGATGGAAACTTCCACGTATTGTCCATGTTGAAGGTAGAAGATGAGTACTCATGAAGGAAAGTCAACCCTTCTAATCCTTCCATTTTTTGGGGATTTAAAGGGGATAATATTCTTTCATGACTACTCTATCTTCTACTTTCAACTTGGACAACATTGGAAGTTGTCATGCATTTTTTCCTTCCATATTCTTCGAATCTAGTGAGTATCCTAACCAAGCCAATCCTATGTGACAAATGCAGCCTCAGTTATCTCAAACTTACATCCTACCCAACCTGTTATAGGAGGTGATGATGCAAAGATGAAGACTGTTAAAGATCCTAATAAATAATGCCCAAGTAACAGTTTTAGTAAAGAAATTAAATCCAAAGTGAAGCATAAGCCACCCCATTTAACAGAGCAAACTAGGAGACACATATATACACATAAATGACACTAAAGATTTAAAAGTTAAGCCCCAATTGCATCTGACAAACAAGTGCAGTTAAATTAGGGTTTTTTTTTTTTCTTTTTTTTTCATCTCTTCCACCACCCCACCACCCCCGCCCCAAACAAAACAAAAGTTAAGCCCCAATTACACGGTACTTGCAAAGTCTTCTGCAGTTTCACAAATTTAAAACCTGTGCATGCACAACACTCAGTGATTTCATAGGACGTAAGTTTCATTACGAGACCTGATATAGGAGGTGACGCCATTTCTTAATTTTCAATTTCTAAACATTAACATGAAAATGCAAATAATTAGCATATAAAAGTTCCCATAGATGGGTACACAAACTCAGCCACGTATTTAATTTCCATTGATGGGTAACGAATGGTGTGTGCAAGCACAGACAAGGGCTCAGCCCCAGTAAGCCCTGCATCACCTAAGAATAGGCTGAGCACTGTTGTAACCAACGACAATCATGCCTCACGGTACCAGAATGAGGGAACCCACTTCATCCTCAACTCCGTAGTTCATTTGTGTGAGAATAATATATTTCATATAATGATTGGAGTATCGGTATCCTACCAGTGAGACACATCTTTCGAGCATTCTGTACATGAAACAACACCCCCCATCCCTCTTTTTGATGTAATTGTTTTTCTTAAACAAACCGAAACAACAGCAATTTAGCATTCAGAAATAGTTCATGTATAAACCAACATGGAAAGAAATTAAACCCTAAACTCAAGCATTGAACACAGCATACTACAATAATTACATACATGAAAAATGTAAAGTTTCAAACTTTAAGCTACCCAATCTCAAATGACATTCTAGTGCAGCAAAAATTAGGGTTTTTTTTTGTAATCTTTCTCCCTCCCTAAAGAAATTGGGTTTAGCGGCGGCAAACAAACCTGTAAGGAAGAGAGCTGGTTCTCAAGGGATTCAAGGGCGTCGCAGATGTTGAAAAGCTTATGTGCCTCTTCCTCTTCCACTTCCTCTTCTTCGTTTTCTTCTGCTACTTTGTCTGTTGCTTCGCCGTCGGCGTAGATTCCATTTTCTCTCTTGGGTGGTGGGTGATTTGCTTTGTGGATGCAGTTGCTGATCTTCAATCTCAGCTCTGTGGCTCTTCCCAGAACCAACCCAATGCCCTCTTCTTCCATCTCTTCTTTCTTTCTAGAGCGAGAGAGAGAGAGAGAGAGAGAGAGAGAGAGTTGAAGGGGCTGGAAATTGAAAGGGTTTGGCTGGTTTGTTTCAATTGGGGAGAGGAGAGTAGAGGAAAGGAAGGTTTATCAGTACCGCCAAAATAGAACCGTACTGGAGTTTCGGTTTTGGGTTTAAACCGTTTTAAGTGATTCTGGTGTTCTCTCTGTCTCATGCCACTAGATTAGATTTGATGAGATAGAATCATTTTCCATTATTTTTCTCTCTTTTTTATTATTTTATTATTTGTGAGCCTTCACTCTTTTATTGTTTGTTTTTTATGCCAATGAAATGCCAAAACTCCCCACTAAAGAATACAAAATAGTATGTATTTAGTCTAAATTTTTTGGAGAGTTTTAATGAAAAGTTCACAGTACTGTTAACTTTAATGAAAAATCATATTTTTACACTAAAAAGTCAAACCTTGTACTATTCACTTTATACTTTATTTTGTCTTTATCATTAAAACTCAAAGTTTTCAATTCTCTTTCATTAGTTTTCCTAATTTTTTTTGTTACGAATTATGTGTTAATTTAGAGAAGTATGTCGCATTTTTTTACTGGAGCACAAATACTCTTTTTTACTAATTGGTATGACTAATTGCATGCTTACTAATCTGTAGTTATAATCAAAACAAAGAATTTCAATTACAGAATATTCCTCTGTTTACTAAACAAGGACCAATCAAACTGGAATAGGCCACACAACAAAAGAAAAATAAAATTCAATTTCCATTTTAGAGGAATTAGATTATTTTGGAAAGTGATATTTAGATTTTGGGAGAAATAAAAAGGATCCAATAAGAAATTCAACAGCCATTATTTTAACCGACACATTTTATATTAAAACTAACATTTCTCCACGTGTTCCTGCGCGTTAAAATATCTTTTTTTTTATATAGAAAACTTTATTTTAATCCATGGGAAAAATGACTTTTAGACTAAAATCATGAATACGATCAAAATCTAATTTTAGTCTCTTGATACATTAATCCAAAATCTAATTTTAGTCCCTTGATACATTAATCATCTCATTTATTAATTATATTTTGATGTTTTATTTATTTCTCTTTTTCTTTCTAATTTTAATGTATTGATTATCTTTCATTATAATTATAGTTTTCATTTCATTCATCGTAATATATTTTGTTTGACAAAAAAAATAAAAAATAAAAAAAAACTTAATATATTTTGTTGTACAATATATTTTGATATACTTTGTCTTCTTTAGTTAGGTACATTAAATCATTTATTAAATTTTAACATATTTATTTTGGTATACAAATTTAGGTACATTGATTTAATATAATATATTTCGGTACTAACATTTAGGTACATTAATTTAATATAATACATTTCGGTACATACATTTAGTTATATTGATTAAGTCTTTCAAGTTTGAAGAATGTTAAATAAAATTAATAAATTTAAAAAAAAAACTTTTTCAAGCCAAAAAATAAATTAAATGTGTATATTAATAAATAAAAATATTTAATGGGAGACGTTAAATAAAATACCCCCAAACTTAGATTTTACTAGTCCTTGAGCAAACCAAAACTAAAAGAAACAAAAACAACACAAAAGCAAACATGAGTTAATCTAAGACCAATTTCGTTGGTGAGACGAATGCATTCAACTTATGCATCAAGCATTTAAACCTCTATGCATCCCTAGTAGGAGGAGTTCTGTCTCCTAAGGGTTTAATAGTGACGGTACCCATAAACGTCTGAAACAACCTACAAAACAATGATTATAGCACTTTTGAAACAAGATAATAAGAATCAAAGCTCAACTATGCCTTACACGCCTAACTTTGACTTGACTTTCTAGCAATCAAATCTGCATGTTAGTAAGGAGCTTTAGCTCAAATTCAACATGTTACTAAGTTACAAGCTCAAGCAAGGAAGATAAGATTCGTCTCAACTCTAATCTCACACATTCACTCTTTCACTTTATTCATGGGGCTTGCTCTCAACAAGTATATGCGAGTGAGGTTATGTAATGGAAAGCAAAATATTCTCACACATAATTCAATTAGAAACAAAAGAACTTTCTGGACAATATCTCATGAAAGGAATCACATACTAAGAATAGGATAGTAGACATGCTTACTAACACCCATGAATACATCCTCAAAGATCAACTAGGTCTTTCATAAGGTTGTAGTGTAAGTTTTTTAGGGTAAGGTCTATGAAAGGATGGATAAGGAATACTAGAAATTGAGATACACCAAAGTGTCTTCCTTGCAAAACCATTATGCTTTCCTCTTGAATTGATCTTCTTTACTCATTCTCAACGTCCAAGACCCATGTGTGATTATACATGGATTTAGAAATTGCATCTTCTTCTCTCTCGTTTTTGTTTTTTTCTCTTCTTAAAACGTTTTCTTTTTTCTTTTTCTTTTTTCTTTATTTTATTTTGCAATTCCAGCTCATGTTACCTCGGTACACGCCACTTTCTTAGTTTAAAGCCCGAACATTTTTTCCTCATCACTTTGGTATTCCCCAAGCTATAAGGAATGGCTATTGTGGGGGAAATGGGTAGAGTTTAGTGTGGGTGATGAAAGATATGGCTATGTTTGGCTTTAAAATGGGTAATGACTCACACAACAAAGGTAGGGAATTAGGCCATTTACTAGTTAAAACATGCATAGCCTAACATCATCTCAATGCGTTCATTCATGGTTGATAATAAGCACAAGTTTCCACAAAAGAGAACTCTTAGTATTCAATAAAAAATGAATAATGAGATCATTTGAAATGAATTTGAAAGAAAAGGATAGGAGTAGAAACAGTTTAATGCCTCTAAAAGAAGCAAATAGGCACAAAATTTCACAGAAGGCAGTCTCCACTATCCTTCTTCTAAGGCTTGAACTAGTAATTTTTCACAAGTATTCTTAAAACTGAGAGCAGTGGTCTTATATAGCAGATACAACAACTTTCAAAGCAAAGCTAAAGTTATGGTTGCAAGACTAAGTTAAACATGTACATTCTCATTATTTAATTGCAAATAGCTCTAATCATGACTCAAAAAGACTAAAAATTCAAGTGATCACATTCAACTGTGCATTGTTCAAATCTTTTGGATTTACAACAACTTGACAAGGAAGCTTACCTGGTTCTCTTTGGCTTAGGACTGTTGCAATCTGTCCAACCTGATTTTCTAAATTTGCAATTGAACGATCAGTCTTGTTCACGAAAGCTTTGGTTGAAACCTTGAGGTCTTGAGTGCTTTGATCTAAAGAACTCACTTGTCCAACCAATGTACTCATGATGTCTTCAAGAGGCATGCTTAGTGTAGCTTGGGAAGGCGGCAGATTTTGCACAGTGTTGTTATTGTTGTTTGGCATGGCCATCTCATCTTCTTCTAATTCAACCTTGGGTGAGGATAAGGCTGACTTACGTGTTTGTGATTCTAAGTGGCAAGGAGAGCTTGGCAAAGATTGAGTTTTGAGAATCCTCACAGGTTTGAGTGTACGCCTCTTACCCAAACTTGACTGAACCACCCTTTGTAGCTGCTCTAAGTCAATGAGTGGCTTGAATGGGTTAAAAGAGATACAACTGAAAACAAAATAAAGTTAGTAAGAAAAACTAAAAGGAATTACAAAGATGTTTAAGCGCAGTCCCCGGCAACGGCGCCATTTGTTGAAATTCCTTTTGAGTGCAAATATAAGGATAATATAGTGGCACAAGTAAGGGTGTCAACCCACAGGGACTGATAAACAACTTAGTAAAACCTATGACTCTTACATATTAGCATTACTTAATGATTCCTATGATTTAAAACTAGGGGGTTTAAGTAATTTTGGAAAAGATATAAAGACAGAAAGAAAAGGGAAAAATTAGAACTATCTAAAAATAAACCTAAGACATGAAATAGGTTAGAAACGTTTTTAGGACATAAATCTGACTTAAAATGAGATGATCTTTTAACTTATCCATTTCAAATGCACAACTAAGATGTTCACATATCTAGCATGTCATATAACTAGATTGTATGAATCCTCACTTTCTTTGCATGTGAGATGCATGACATGTACATCAAACTTATATTTGTAGGTGCAACCTAGCATGGCATATACTCAGATTTAGCACCTAGAAACTCATTAAGAACGAAGAGGATTATGAACATCACACGAACCCTAGAACATGGCATTTATCCTAGATTTTCATGGAAACAGCTTACATGATTAGTTCTGAACCTAACCCCATGTTGCTAAGGAATGAAAGAAGATATGGCAGCCATCCTTATCATTCTCAACAGAAAGCAAACATAAACAAGGTAGCTAAGTTTGAAAATATGTACTTGAAACAATTGAGACAGAAAACTAATTCCAGCTTGCAAATGAAATTGATAAACTAAAATTGCATCATGACATTAATTCAATCGTGTCTAGGGCTTCAAAGTAGCCCTAAGTATTCATAAACTAAGTTAGAAACATAACAAAATACATAAAAAGTTAGGAAAGCTAGAACCTAGAAACGGCACAAGGTGGAGGATTCCTACTCCTCTTTGATGTTTTGTATCTCCTCATTTTTCTCCCTCAGATTTTGCGTATTTTTCTCCTATTAAAAGGCTTAGGAGTTTTCTAACATCTGATACATTTACTTCCTTGAATTGACTCTCATTTATAGCTCATTACAATCAGCTTTTAGTACAGGAGTAACTAAAAACTAGTTGTTATCAGAATTTGTAACTGAACAACTCCTCTTTATTCTATCATAATTTCTTGTAGAAACCTCCAAATCACAAGCTATAAAGACCATCAGAAAGAAGACTTCTAGGGCTTTCCAACCATATATGGCCCATTTTCAAATTCGTTCTGAGCACTTCGGGGCAAAGCTCGCAAGTTGGCTGTTCTACAAGGGCCTTTTCTGGCGGATCTTGGGCCACTTGTGGGCTATGGTCTGGTCTTGGGCGAGTTGGGCTTCAAACTATCCATTCTAGGCTCTTAAGATATTCAAAATAAGATGATTTTTTCAAGCCCTTACTTTCATCCTGAAATACAATACAAACAACAAAATACCTTGTGATGCATAGAGACTTTAAGTAAAAAACCTAACTAAAATATGGCGTAAAAGAATAACTTTATGCACTCAACAAATAAAATACACATTAATTAGTTTGAATTAAGGACACATCA